TGTTTCCTGGAAACTATTGAAACTCGTTTGGATGAAAGATTCTCAGATGGTGATAATTAATTACACCCTCTACCTTTTTCTTGGGATAATTTGGAGTTATACAGTAAAGTCCCAAATGTCCTTGATTTGCCATTTTTGTTCACATGAAACTATTCAAATTTGATTTTGTTCCCACATTATATATGATGGAGAAGCCAGAATTACCTGGCAGAATTTAATTCTTCCTTGGATCTAGTTCCATTTTTAATGTTGGGTTCCTTTTTCAAATCTGATTACTCTAGCTGTAGCTCTCTAGAATAAAACATTCCTACCAAGTCCCTGGTCACAAAAGGTCAAAAGAATTCTCATTTCTTAAGGTGCTCAACAAATCACCTTTATTTTGAGATGGTAGTCTTTCAAGTTACTGTTACTTACAACCCTTCTCAGTGATGATGAAATACTGAGTTCCCATCATGGGGCACTCATCTGAACCTCTTGTGGTATATTTCAATAAATTACATTCTTAGTCTTAGAGAACATGGACATTTTAGTGTTTGGAATACTCCAAATTTTAAAAGGTTTTTCTTTGTTTTAGGTTAGCTTCTTCTCTTCCTGATGCCATAAAATATAACATGTTAGATATCCTAACCACCTCCCCCAAATGTTTTTCCTTTTTTAAATTGTATAATGACCAGTAGATTCATCCAATGGCATGCAATTGACAAGTACTATGGATATTTAAGATGATGGTAAATAATTTTAATTATTTTTGCTATAATTTTATAGGAGAAATGGGCTGTAAAAGAAATCTCTAAACCACAGAGAGCATTTAGGAAACTATATTTTATAGAGGGTCATTAATGTGTCCTTAATTCAAGATATAAGGTATATAGTTTACACAACCTTTGTTCTCCTCATACAAAGTTTTTATTCATTTTCCTATAGGTCAGCACTTTCACTGTTCCTTGTACTGCTTCTGCAGACTTGTTTTCAGTTTGCTTTATTTTTGCTTTTCAGAGTTGTCATACTCATGGCAGTAGTGTTTGTGACACCATAAATGCCAAAATTCATGGGAAACTTAATGAGTGATTGCCTAAGTATTATTTCCCTTCAAATTGGGATGGTGCCACAATAGCCAGAGAAAATGAATGGCTTTTTTGAAGGCCATGTAGGTTCCATGACATCTGGTCAGTGTATTGCTTTAAGGGCACAGAAAAACATTCTATCTTAACTTGCCTTATGGACCGTAAATCCTTGTTGCAGAGAGTGGAGCTTATTTTATTATACTACTTTGTATAATTAAAATAAGTCACATTCTAGGGGGGGGGGAACCTGGAATTTTTCTTTTTCTTTTTTGTTTCTTTTTGAGAAACTCCTATGTAGAAATCAGAGCTACTCACTACCTTGTGCTCTTGATTGTCCACGAGGATTATTTGTAGTCCTTTTTTTATCCCACATTGGAATTGCCCTCTTCTTCTAGATTGCCTCCCCTTCATGATAATCATGATATCAGGACAGTGAATGTGTAGTGTGTAACATCAAATGTGGTGAGGTATTCTGAAATCCTGCAGCATGGACACAGAATCTCTGTAGTTAATGAATTAGCTATGGCTGAATTGTTAGCGTGGATCGTCAGAAGACTGCCAGGTCTTAGTAAGGAGGAGAAAGATAAGTGATATAAAAATTAGAGATGAGTGGAAGGAAACCACTCCCTTACTGATATTAGTAATCTTCCATATAGTTAATGGTCTAAAAAGTATATTTACTTCTTAAAACCCAGGGTTGGTATTGGTAACATAGAAATATTGACTTTTCTGTACATTCCTCATTATTGGTTCCCCAGAAAATAATTATTAAGAGTTTATGAAACCAGATTAAATATCCATGTTCACTTCAGCCTTATTTTTTCAAATAAAAATTTGAATTTTCAGCTTTTGTGTATTTGGTGTTCATCACTGTTCATGAAATCAAGGATCAGAAAGGAAGTGGAGATGAGACATCTCTGTATTTCCCTTTGCACTTTGGGTACAGTGAGTGGCATTAGCGTGCACTAGCTGCGAATTTACAGCACCTTACAGAACTAAGTAGTGTTTATTTATTATAATAGAAAAGTTAAGCTGCACTTCTGTAGATAATTGACTTTTCAGAGTGTAAAGCTATCATATCTTCCAACAGGATTTACTCTTTCATTCATAATTGTTTTTGAAAAATCTTAAATAGTGTATCATTCCTTTATATCCTTTATAATAGTTTTGAATTTGGAGTAGAAGGGATTGTTTTTTTTTTTCCAAAAAGGGCTTCATCATTGCTATCTTTTAATCATGCTTAGGGATCCAGTTAGAATCAATAAACTTTAACAGTTTATGGCCTCCTATGTCAGCACTGCAGTGATTGGTTGTGAATATTAAATTGATTACTATTTTCCCTCTGTAGCATGTAATTGCTATGTTTTTGCTAAGAAGGTGTGACTAGAAACAAATGTGAAAGATCACTTAAACCAAAGCCAGTTTAAAGGAGTATTCTCTCCTGTTGGTTTACTTTCACCTCAGAATTACAAGAATATTACAACGCATAGTGAATAATTGTTTATAACATTTCTACCAGTTTCAATTGCATATTGGTCTTGGCATTTCTTGGCACTATGGTTCTCTGTGATGTCTTATTATTTGTGAGGGGTTTTTTGTTTTATTTTTAATAGGTGAGGCCTGAATGACTGTCCTGGCAGGAGCAGGGCTGGGAGGCTTCAGGCTCCTCTGTGTGGGAGGAGCTGTGTCATTTCCTTAACCCTGATGGTCACATGCTCTGGCCAGGCCAGCAATGGTGTGGGGTTATCACAGCATGAGTCAGGGTTAAGGATATATGTGTCAGTACTGAGTACTTTTCTCAAATCCCCAATTTCTGGTTTCCATTCAAGTCTTTTACTCTATTTTTTTTCTTGCTGAGTAGCAAAGGACTTTTATTTTCCACTTTTCCAATATACCTACAAAGTATGAACACTGCATTTCAATTGATTGTATTGCATGCTTTTTTGCTGAAAACCTTTTCTGTAAACACAATTGCCTTGTTCAGTTTTGTTGTAAACTGACTTATCTTAAGATGCACTGTTGATATGCTTTCTGATGTGTTTGATAAGAGTGATAAAAATAAAACTTAAAAAATAAAGCAATTAAAAAAATTTGGCCTATTTCTCAGTAACATGTATAAACAGCTCAGTAATGAAGGGAAGTAGTCTTCAGTATGATGTGTGCTGCACTACCATATATATGGAATGGGTGCACAAAGACAGTGCTAGGGTGGCTATGGTAGATTTATGAAAATTGATAAAACTGCACCTATAATTTCACTCGTAGTGTCTCTAAGCCACAATTCTGATGTATTGTACTTGATCGATGAATGTGTTTACTATAATCATAGTTCGGTTTACATATCTAAATAATATCTGCAGGATTTTTATGTGTTTGGGATTTATAGTATTGATGGGAGATATTCTTGGACCACAAGGGTTATTGTCAATGTGTTATTTGTGTTTTAATTTAATATTTTCAAATGAGAAGCTAATTTTATCGGTAATATTCAGAGAATTCTATAACTGTATATTTCACAAACTATTACAATATTTTTGTATTGGAGCTTCTTTACATTATTTTATCATGCAGCAGACACTTGGTAGTTTCAAAATAAATCATTCATTCAATAAATGCTTCATGTATGGGCCAGAAACTACAAGACTCTGGATTCACAGAAAATGCACAGTGTTTGTTGATAGGCACCTAAACATTAGAAATGGAAAATGTGAATTATCTTCTATAACTGTTTCTTCTTTCAATTATTTGAACAAAAATCTTTGGATTCAACCTAGAGCAGAGAAACAAATTGACTAAGAATAATTACTATATATACTATAATTTAACAACTGAAGAAGTACACCAGTGGGTGATGGAGACAACTGGTGAGTTCATGGACATGAAGAGTCTCCTTGGGACAAGGACGCTGGTGGCCTGTCCTGAGCAGACACTGTGGAAGTGCAGTCCTTGGAGACACTGGACACTGTGAGCTCAGTACCTGGGAAAGCTGTGAGCTCACAAGCAGGACCATGAGGGAATGATGGAGAATTGTCAGGCAGGAGTGTAGCAGCCTAAGAGAGGGTGGGATCCAAGACAAAGCACAGGTTAGGTGAGGCCTGAATGACTGTCCTGGCAGGAGCAGGGCTGGGAGGCTTCAGGCTCCTCTGTGTGGGAGGAGCTGTGTCATTTCCTTAACCCTGATGGTCACATGCTCTGGCCAGGCCAGCAATGGTGTGGGGTTATCACAGCATGAGTCAGGGTTAAGGAACAGGGAGTGGGACCCTGTGGGGCCTCAGAGGGGTAGGACAGGCTGCAGGGACATGTTGGCCATGACTTCATCCTGTTTAGTCTCCAATGATGAGGGCGGCTGGCAGAGGGAGGATGACAGATGGGAGGTGACACCCTATGACCCCCTGAGTGACAGAAGCAATGTCCCTGAGGTGAGTTCTCCCATCTTTCTTCTTGTATTACTCAACCCATGGCCTGGTCAGCAGCACCTGGTAACCCAGCCGCCTGAGATCTTGGGAAGTGGTTCATCCTTGGAGCCCCTGAATGTGGTGATGTCTGGGGCAGTGTGTGGATCCCTGCTCTGCAGAGCACACCCAGCACCACACCACAGTCACCTCCACCAGCCAGGGCCCAGCTTCCTCACAGGACCCTGCCCTTGGCCTCCCTCCATCCTCACCTCCAGGGGAGACCAGACAAGGGTGATGAGGAGATTGGTGAATACAACAGCAGCAATGGAACCTGTATAGCTAGGAACACACATGGGCTTGTGCACACAAACACACACAGGCTCACACTTGTCCCCAGTGGGATATTACAGCTCAGGCCCCTCAGGACAGGGAGAGTAGTGAGGAGCTTGGCCACAACAGGACCCAGGAGCCTCAACAAATCCTGCAAGGCATTCACTGTCCCTGCAGGACCAGAGGCAACCATGCCGGCCGAGGAGCTGGAAGGGGCCTAATGGTGCTGACAGTGAAGGTGTCCCCCAGATGTGGATGTCCCTTATCTGGGAGCCCTAGGGATTGTGGGTGCTCCTGACCCCATATGCTTATTGTCAACATCAGTGTCTGTGTGGTCAGCACCAGTGTCAGGGGCTGGTGGTGAAGTCACAGTGACTCAATACTTCACCTCTTGCCTGTGTCCAGGACAGAGTCCCTGTTCCTCCTGCAGATAGTCTGGTCCCTGCTGGCTCAAGGTCCCAGGCAGGTGGCAGGCAGCCTGCCTCACCCCTCCCCCTAGTCTCTGGATTCTGATACCCAACAGCAACAGCAGCAGCAAGGAGAAGCCAGGAGGCGGGCAAGAGGCACAGCCTGGATCAGCAGTGCTAGGTTAAGCCTGTCATGTGGCAGGAGGTTGTGCCACATGGATTCCCCAGTTCTGGTCATTGCAAGGGTAGGCAAAGTACGGGGACCTCAGGTAGTTGTATTTCAATTGTGAGGGCACACATTGCACTCATATTAATCCAAAATGGAAATGTTCAAAGGTCAATACAAAATATAATTGTAGAGTAGGAAAAGGAGGATGGAGGATGGAGGGTGGCAGTGACCTGGGACATTGTCCAGAGAGTGACAGAGGGAACCGGGACATCTGAGCCCATGATGTATCTCCTGCACATCTGCCCTTTCCTCTTGATCCCAGGAGAGACCACAGGCCCCACTACTAGGGGATTCTTATTCCTCAGGGGGTTGGGAACCCTGACCCCGAGACTTGCTAATCTAGGAGGGTGCCATTGTGACTGCGCTCCATGATGTCATCATTGCCAAGCACTGCTCCTTCCATATTCTACAGCAGTTAGAGGCCACTCCTGTGTCAAGTGACCGGCTGAGCTGGAGTTTGTTTTCTAGGCAGCAAGCAAGTTCAGGACACGGGGATGGATTCAGGTCCAGGTGAGTGGGACTTGCTCTCTTCATGTCATGATGATTTGGGGACAGGTTGTCCCAGCTGTGTGGGCCTGGCCTCTCTTGGCTACTGCAAAGGGCCATGCTGCCTGAGAGTGTCTCTCTCTCTCTTTCTAGCATGTTTTCCAGCTTAAAAACATGAAAAATTTGATTCTCTGAATACTCACAATGGAGATGTAGAACCTGAAATTAACTATGCCACTTTCAACTAATCTGAGAAAATTAAATGCTTATGTATAGCATTAACAAAATATGTGTAATATTGTACACTCCAAATAACAAAATACTGATTTTAAAAAAGGTGAAGTACATCTAAAGAACTGGAAACTGTATTGTGCCTGCAGATTACAGGATAAATGTAATAAAGGTGCTGGTTTCCCCAAATTAGTAAATAACTCTAATGCTATTCCATCATTATCCCAGCAAGATTTTGTAGGTCTAGGTGAACTTATTCTAAAATTCATACGGAGAGTTAAGACAGTCTTGGGAGAGTGGGAAGAACAAAGTGGGAAGATTCACTGCAGTCAATGTCAAGTCTCACTATGTAGATACAGTAATCAAGAATTTGTGACACTGGGGAAAGGACAGACTTAGACAAACAGAACAGAGAACCCAAATAGACCACACAAATATACTCAACTGAATTTTTTTACTCAGTACCACAGGGAATTCAAAAAAGAAAGGATAACTTATTCAAAAAGTGGAGTTACCCTGCCTCTGTTACACATCAGAGTGCCTGTGTTTGATGCCCGGCTCTGCTCCTGACTCCAACTTCCTGCTACTGCAGACCCTGGGAGGCAACACCAAGGGCTCAAGTAATTGGGTTCCTGCCACCCACATGGGAGACCTGGAATGAGGCCCTGGCTCACTGCTCTAGCCTGGCCCTGCCCCATCTGTTGCAAGGATTTCAGGAGTCTATCCGTGGATGGAACATATCTCTGTCTCTCCCTCCTGCGCTGTCACTCTGCTTTTCAAATCAATATATAGATCTTTAAAATATCTTTTAAAGGAAAAATACAGGACTCCAAGATGAATTTTCTCAACAGTTGACCAATGCATAATTTGTGAGTTTATTTAATATTCTATGCAATATTTAGATGCATTTGCATTTCTGATCAACCCAGATCAATTCACATGTCAGATGAATGGAAAAAAAAACATAAGAAATATATTGCATTCCATGGAACATTTGGGATATCATTACACTAAGGGGTCTTTCAATGTTTATGTAGCACGCAAATGGAACTGGGCATTTGGGTGTTATTGTTTCAGGTACTGCTGTTTTTTTCTTGGCTAAATGTGGCAGCCCTATCAGGCTAAACTTGGAAGTAGGGCCTTCTCTATACCAATTTCACCTATGGCAAGTGTCAGACTGTCTTTTTTCCTCTCTGTAAAGTGGGGGTGATGACTTTTATTTTGCAAGGCTGCAAGCTTCCCAAATCACACAGCTCCACTAGCTGTTGTTGGTGGTGAATGCTTAGCAATCAACATGCATGTCTGGGGATGATGGGTGGATCACTGAATCTTTTTTAAAAAAGATTATTTATTTAAAATGGAGAGAGAGGGAGAAAGAAGGAGATGAGGGGAGAGAGAGAGATAGAGTGAGAGAATGATCTTCCATTTGTTGGTTCACTCCTCAAATGGCTAAAACAGGGCTGTACTAGGTCTTGAGCCAGGAACTCCACTGGGGTTTTCCATGTGGGTGGTAGGGAGCCAAGCACTCAGGCCATACCTCACTTCTCTCCCAGATATACACCAGCTGGATCAGGCACAGACCATCAGAACTTGAACCAGTGCTCTGACATGGGATGCTGGCATCACAGGTGGTGCTTTAACGTGCTGCTTCACAACACAAGTCCCTAATTAAACACATCTTGCTTGTTACTGTATCCCTGGGTTAAAGCAAGTGAATACTAGCAATATTATGGGAAAATTTATTTTTCACTTAAATTTTGCATGTAGGCATTTATTTGAACAGCAGAGAGCCAGCAAGCTTTCATCTGATGGTTCACTCTCCAAATACCCACCACAACCAGGGCTCGGCCAGGCCAAAGCCAGGAGCCAACAACTCTGTTCAAGGATCCAATCACTTGAGCCATCACTGTTGGTTCCCAGGCTGTGTATTGGCAGGAAGCTGGAGTCAAGAGCCATTTGCAGGACTTTACTCAAGCACTCCAGAGTGGGACATGGGCTTCTTAAATTCCAATTAAACACCTGCCCCACTAGGTAAACCTAAATGGCCTGTGGAGTTGGCAGGGCCAGTGTGATCACACCCTGTGTGACATGACAAGTGATAGAAGTGGAGAAAGCAGCTCCAACATCCTGGCTTTGCCTTCACTTTAACCACCCAGCTGGCTTTTCCAGGCTCAACTGGGTGCTCATTTCCTCCACTAACTGAGCTGGGACATTTCCCAGATGCCTCCAGGCTGGTTTTAGAAGAGATGACAATGTAATCCTAGGTGTCATTGCCTGTGTCTGCGGTAACTGCTGAAATTCTAGGAATGAACTTTTGCCAACACCTGCTCAGTGTCAGGGTTTAGGCTTTTTATTATGTTATTCATTTATTATCATTATTATTATAAGAAAGAGAGACATAGATATCTTCCAACTGCTGGCTCAATCTCCAATGCCTGTAAGAGCCAGACCATGGCAGGCAACACCCAGGAGCCTGGAATTCTATCTGGGTCTCCCACATTGTTGAACCATCAACTGCTGCTTGCCAGGGTGTGCACTAGCAGGAACCTACAGTTGGAGGCAGAGCCAGGATTCAAACCAAGGGAAGAACACTCTCAGGCTTATTAATATGAAAGATTTTTAAATAAGCATTTGGTGATAACATATGGCACCTCAAATTTCAATACCATATGTGGCATCCCAGATGGTGCTTCTGGGGAACTTAAAAGGGCCACATTTTGATATAATTTTAGGGGGTTATTTCCAGTATCAGCAGCACCTGAGCTGCAGCAAGCCATCATGTGGTGCACACAGACTCACCATCCCATGGCACACAAGGCTCTGGAACACCCAGATGGAGGTACCCATGTCTGAAATGAGCACATGAGATCAATCACATTTCTTTTTTTTTAAAAAAATTTTATTTATTTATTTTGACAGGTAGAGTTACAGACAGAAAGAGAGAGACAGAGAGAAAGGTCTTCCTTCCTTGGTTCACTCCCCAAATGGCCACTACAGCTGCGCTGATCTGAAGCCAGGAGCCAAGTGATTCTTCGTCTTCCATGTGGGTACAGGAGACCAAGCACTTGGGCCATCCTCCACTGCCCTCCCAGGCCACAGCAGAGAGCTGGGCCTGGGACTAGAACCCAGCACCCATATAGGATGCTGGCGCCACAGGCGGAGGATTAACCAAGTGAGCCACGGCACTATCCCCAATCATGTTTCTTATATGCAGCTGCCAGCAACACACAACAGGCATCTGTCAGTGTAGGCCATCCCTTAAGAAGTCTCCTGGGGAGTCTGTGCAGGGAGATAGATAGCAGTGATACACCAATGGGTGAATCAGTGGACTCCTTTAGCAGTGCTAGTCCTTAAGTCTACTAGATGTTATTCTAATTCCCACATGGCAAACAGCAGATACTTTCTGCAGGTAAGCTTTATCTTTGCCTTTTTCATATGATCTTGTATGTAGAGAACACTCAAGATTCCTCAATAAAGCTGGTACAAAAACAATTCAGCAAAGCAGTACAATACAAAATAAACATAGAAAAAGCAGTTGTGTTTATATACAAAACTGAACAACCTTGAAGGGAAATATAGAGAACAGCTGGATTTGCAATAGCATCAACAGGGTTAATTACTTAGGAATAAACTTAACCGAAGAAATAAAATATTTAAACACCAAAAACTATAGTGTTAATGAAATGAATTAAAGATGACACAAATAAAAAGCATTTTAAGAAGTTAGTACCACACTAAATGATCTACATATTCAAAGCAATCCTTCTAAACACATCAACATTTCATTTTAGCAGAAAATGTTAAAAACAACTTAGAATTCATATAGAATGTAAGAGAACCCCAAACAACCAAAATAAGTTTGAAAATGAAGTACAAAGTTAGAGGTCTCACATTTCCTGAATTCAAAACTCTCTACAAATCAACAGCAATCAAAATAGGATGATACTGACATAACATCAGATACACAGACTAGAGGCATAGAATAAAGAGAGAACTGGTGGGCATTCAGTCTAGCAGTTAAGATGCTGGTTAAGATTCCCACAATTAAATCTCAGCCTGGGCTCCTGACTCCAGCTCCCTGCCAATGCACACCCCTGGAGACAGTGGTGATAGCTCAAATAATTGGGTTCCTGCCACCAACATTGGGAATGTGGATTCTGTTTCTGGGGGCGTGGTATTGTGCAAGCTCAGATTTGGCCATTGTAGGCATCTGGGCAGTAAGCATGCATGTAGGAGCTCTCAGTCCCCACCTCTCAAATTAAAAAATTTAAAATTTAAAAATTCAGTTAATATTATACTCACTAGTAAAATTAAGGAAAGTCAAGATATGATAACCCCATAAATACAAGTTTTGTGTTTTTTTTTTTTTCTAAATCTATCTTATAGTAAAACCCTAAACAAATTAGGAATTGAAGAGAACTTCTGTCAGGGAAAGGCCACCCATGGAAAAATCTACAAATGCTGGGGCTGGGAACAAGAAACAAATACTTTTACCACTTCTATTCAACCTGGTAATGGAAAACTTTACTAAATAAATCATGAAAAGAAAAAGAAAAAGTCTTCAGATTTCAAATGGAAACAGTAAAATCGCTTTGCATTGTTCAAGACATAATCCTGCATATAAAAGAAATACTGATGAATTTACTATATATTCAAAGTAAAATTCAGTAATCTTTCAGGGCATAGAACAGATGTAAAAGTATCAATTGTATTTCTGTGCAACAATGAATATTCTGAAAAAACAGCAGCATTCAAAATGGCATCAGAAGGAAGAAAAATACAAATAAAAATTT